TCTATCTATCTATCTATCTATCTATCATCAGCTATCTATCATCTATCTATCTATCTTTTCATCTATCTATCTGTCTGTCTGTCTATCTATCATCTATCTATCTATCATCTATCTATCTCTATCTCTCCATATGAGGGAAAAATATGATACTTACCTTCCTGTGTCTGGCTAATTTTTCTTAACATGGTAACCTCAAGTTCTATTCTTTTCCTGAAAATGACATTGTGATGGTAGATCTTTTTTAATTAATTTTTTAGATTAGCATATAATGTAACGGGCATCAACATGCCCAACACGGCATTGCTATACATCTATGTTGTTATATTTTGTTCTCAGTCTTTCCTCCCCTCCACTGCCCCACTCCAGCTGGCTCCTTTTCTTCTGACAGTCTTTCCTTCTTCTCTCTTATCACTGTTTCCATTACCTTCTCTAGTTCCCACTTCCCTTAAGTCTTCTTCTTCCCATCTTACTATTCCCCTTCTGCTTTCATCACACACACACACACACACACACACACACACACACACACACACATACACATACACACACTCACACACGTATATAATTTAAATCTAGCTTCCACATGAAAGAAAATTCGAAGTATTTGTCTTTCTCACTCTGGCTTCTTTGGCTTAACATAATGATTTCCAGTTGCATTCTTTTTCCTGAAAATGCCATGATTTCATTTTCTTGATGGCTGCATAACATTGCACTGTATATGTGTACCATGTCTAGTACCTAGACTAGTTCCACTTCCTGACTATTGTGAATCATGCAGAAAAATCCAGTTACTAAAGACACAGCTCTAAGCAAAGCGTTATCACAGCTACTTTGCTCAGTGTTAATAAACAACATGTGAATCAAGAACCAAATTGGAGCTCAGCATGTGTGTACTCATGATGGAACTCACACTTTGCCGCAAGCTTGTGAAAGCACACTTCAGACTTTGAACAGACTTAGCTGCCTTGAGTGAGAACAGTGAGATGTAAACTGTACTGAACTCTGCTCATCGCCCAGGTGTTCCGGGTGTGGGACATTCAGACTCTGTCTGTACTGCAAGTCTTCCACGACAGCCAGGGAGGACCAGGAAACATGCAGATTTACTCGATGGTGTATGATTCCAGTCATGGCATGCTCATTACAGGTAGGTGTGCCTGAGCAATAATAACAAATGACTCTCATATCTTGTGCCTGAGTAATAACAAATGACTCTCATATCTTGTGTTTTACACTTTTTTTTAAAGATAGCTCTTGAGCACTTACTATGAAAAAAAAAAACACAGAGAAGGGGAAATTACAAACACTGACTCACCACTGTAGAGATTTATTTCTGTTTCCCATCATTCTATGTCTAGGTGAATGAAATAGGCAACCACGCTTCTGAAAATACCAGGTTAGTTCTCTTACGATTATGACCCTAGGAATGCATAGTCCAAGTGAAGAAGGAAAGGGGTATGAAAATTGTTGCTGTATCTAGGGCTCTGTTTTGACTCCTGAATGCAGGCAGGTGGTACTATCTTAAAGCAGCAGCTCTAGCATGCACCAGTATGAGCTTGTTTTCCTCAACAAGGCAGGTTGACCCTATGCATTCTGGTAAGGAGTTAGTCACTTGGCAAGATAGGTTTGGACCTTCTCAACTACCTTTACTCCCAGATAAAGAGCAGCAGAGAGGTTAGAAGCCAGGGTGACAGCTCAATACATTGGTTGCCAAATTGTTTTACGACCTATTTGACAGATGCACTGAAGAGACAACCTTGATAGGCATTTAGGTCGACTACTGTCCACATGCATACCCTTCAGCTTTTAGAAGGAAAATGAATGATATTAATAGCCATTCTACCTTCTGGAACACTAAGCCAAAGTTGCGTTTCCTAAAATATATTTCTGCTGACCACCTGCTCTTGAGTTCCTGGAGGATTAATTAAGGCAGGAAAATGATTGTTGCTGTCTCTGGTGATAAATGTAATTATTTTTTATTTTGTGTTATATTTCCTGGATTAGAAGTGAAATATCACTTCATTCTCAATAAATAATTTTCCACCCTGTAAAACAGAACTTAGTGAGCTCTTCTCTTTTGAGCTCCTCCAAAATAAATATATTTATGACTATATGCAAATTCCCACCTTTAACACCCCAACTTGCAAGCTTGATTATTAGGCTTAACACTTCTGTCCAAATTATCAGTAGGGCAATGAAGGGCTAAAATTTCAAGACGAAGAAGACAGACAATGGAAAAAAAAAATCAAGATTTCTTTCCACTCACATACTTTTGTTAGGACCTCTGCTTTCAAAAGTACAGATCTCTGTGTTTTCTAACCATTAAAACTAAGGCCATCAACTTGACATCAGGATTACTTGGTGTATATTAATTTGCACTTAAATTCATATAATACCTTATAGAGTAGTTTTCTGAGCCATAGGGACAGCAGCCCTCACTCACAATGCTTGGTAGGATATGTCGTTACTGTCTCTGTCCTCATCAATATGCTTGTTGAGATAATAATCATTTGCTTAGTCTTTATACTTTTTCATTTTATCTGCATAACCACTCTATGAGGTAGGAATGTTAATTTCCAGTTTTATCAATGACAAAATGAAATATCAAACAGTTCAATTGATGAGAATGTTGGAATAGAGGTGGAATTAAAGCCCTGAGCTGCTGAGTCCTGAATACACATTCATTCTGTTCTTTGCATGATTTCCATTACCATAGCACAACTTGTCAAAAAAAAGTGTAAAACCGTCAGCTCTCCACAAGCCATTCTGGCTGTGTTAACTGTCAATATCATGTTAAAGGACCTACCAGGAAACTCCAAGTATGGCTTTGAGAACCTGGTTACCATCTGCCCATCGCATATCCATACAGAGGAGTTAGACTTGAGAAACATTACCTGATGAACCATCTCAGTCCTTTACATGTGAACAGATTATATCATAAAGTCTGAACACTTTAAGAACGTGGGAAGTATCTCTTGTTAAAGCTTCAAGTCTTTTTTAATAGATGTCCCATTTAGGGCCAAGCACTCCACAGTCTCTTATTCAATTTGCACATTGACCAGTTGTGGGTCTCTGAGTTAATCACCAGAAGCTTCTCTGATGAGGGTTGAGAGATGCACTAATCTATGGGTTTAATGGTAAGTCATTAAGAATCAGTTTAATACTAGGTGCATTTATCAGAATAATAGTAGTGAGTTTTTCCATAATGTCTATGACCTATCTATCCACGGGTTTTTGGCCCTAATAATGATGCCAGGTATGGGTGTCACCTTGTGGAGCAGGCCTTAAGTCCAATCAAACGTTACTCCCATAACATTTATGTCTCTATTGCACCAGTGGATGTATTTTGCCAAGTCAGTTGTTATTGTAGCTCACAGAATTTATAGTTGGGTAAGAATGGTGATCACTTTTCTCTTCTAGCAGTATGCTTAGTGCCTTTCAGTACTATGAAAGCTATCCAGGATGGATGAAACTTTGGGTGAGTTCTTTGAAGTGACTTGAGAATGTCAATGTATATTTCACAGCAATAAAGATCTTCACATCCACAAAGTAAGGAAGAAGTTTCATTCTTTTAAAAATTTTACTTTTGTTTGAACTACAGAACGTTTTGACATTTTTTGGTCAGTATTTCTAAATGTTACACTAAAATAAGGCACACAAGTATTGATTTGGAGAGTTAAATCATACTTGTAGTTTATGGCAAAATGGCAAATGTGGGAAAACTTGTTCTCCGTCCCATGATCATGTTAACCATATTATGATGATTCGGAAATTACTTTTACTTACTATTAATGTTGCCATCCACTGACTTGCAATCATTTTCATTCATTATATTAATCAGACCATGTTCACAGAAGACATTATCTTTTGCTTGCTAAAAGGGCTCTCTGATTCAATTTCAATCACCAGAGCAAGCCTAGTATAGCATCAGCAGAAGGCAGCGTCACCAATGTGTGCTCCATGGAGAGGCATTAGCGGACACAATAAGGGGAAAAGACTATAAAAATTAGGAAACTGGAGGACAGAATGACCCATACTTGAAAGATAATGACATCTCAAATGAGTGCTTTCCTCTGGCTGAATCAAATTTGCTGTGTTCATTAGAAGAGTTTTAGAGTGTAGTAGTGGGTTCTTACCTCATTAAATGCCGAGGCATCCATCTTACTCATCTCACCTACCAGCCAGTTCCAAACCCAAGTGGTCAGGTAACATCCTCTGATTCCAGGCTTCTGATATTGATAATTTAGATTTTTTTTTTTGGTCTTTTTGAGACAGGGTCTCCCTGTAGCCCCAGCTGATCTGGAACTCGCTATGTAGACCAGGCTGGCCTCAAACTCACAGAGATCTGCCTGCCTCTGCCTCCCAAGTGCTGGGATTAAAGGCATGCACCAGCCACCATGCCCAGCATGACAATTTAGATATTTTTAAATGTTTTCATTTATATTATATTTCATTTCACTTTTGAGACAGGATCACACTATGCAGCCCAGGCTGGCCTGGGATTTGTGATCCTAATCAGCCTCCCAAGTAAGATTACAGGGGTACTACGTCTTTCAGTCACACCCATTCTCCCTTCTGTTCCAGGATCAAGTGTTATAGACATGTACCCTTTGACTAGGATGGTACAAGACACAAAGCAGGTTCCTCATACTCATGAACGAGAAATCAATGTCATGCTTTACAACAAATATTTCCACCAAGTACTCACCATCTGCTCAGAATCCATAATTAAGGTGAGTTTCCTAATTTCCTTGGTCAGGAAAATGCTGAGAAAAATAGGATTTTTCTTTCCTTATAGGGAAAAAATTACATGATTAAGTGTATGTAGTAGTATGTGTAGTGGAATTGTACATTGAAGCCCTCTTTATGCTTTGGTAAATACATGGCAAGAAGCAGTTTAGTCAATCTCAAGGCACATGCTTAACTGAATAAAACCATATTTTATTAGCTAAATAGAATTTTAAAATTTTGTTTAATTATTTATTTATTTATTTATTTATTTATTATTTTACATGGGAGAGGAACACATGTGGAGGTCAGAGGACACCTTTCGGGAGTCAGTTCTCTCCTTCCACCACGCAGGTTCCATGTATCAAACTAAGGTCATCAGGCTTGGCAGCAAGTACATTTACCTGCTGAGCCAAGTAGGAATGTTAAAGGAAGTATATTAAAGCAAAAAAACTAGCTTGTGTTTTTAATTTCATTAGCAGGTCTATGCTATGAAGGAAAGGAAAGACATTGACAGGCTGTGCACCGTAACTCCTGCAGGTGCAGAATGTGTGCTAAGGCCATTAAGTTTGTAATCTGTTTAATTCTTATGAAAGGTCTGTGGACAGAGAAAGTCTTCCATTCTAAAGATGAAGAAGCCAGGACTCAAAGATAAGCAACCTGTCTTAGCTCCTGTGCTTAATAAGCACGAGGCTGGAATGGGAGCCTGGGATCATCTGCTGTGAACACCCATGGCCCTGCGCTCTGTCTCTCTAGCCTCGCCGCTGTTGTGTTCAGAGGAACAGTCTATGGCCATGCTAACTGTGTCTGTCACTGAAACCACTGAAACCACCCAGCAGAGATAGCTGGGGGTGTTTGCATCAATGTCCATCCTGTTATTTCATGAAGGCTTACTAAGAGGTGGCTGATGGGCCCGTACAGAGCATTTTCCAGGAACCTTAAAATTCCTTTTGTATTTTGACCTTCTGTGGTCATCTGCTGCAGATTTTCTCAAGACCTAACCCCCTGAGTTCATTTAATTATCACTTTTTCTTTTTGCTACTACCTACAGATGAAATAAGTAGTTCAAAACTAAAATAAAACCTGGCCCGCTTTCCTGTAATAATGATCTCTTAAGTGTGATCTATCTCCTCCTTGTGAACAGAAGATGCACAGGAGCTTCTAAAGAGTGTTTACCCCTATTGCACAGGGAAGGACTGTGACTGAAGCTTGGAAATGGGTGACCCCATACCCCTCCATGCAGCGGCCCACATTCCTTACATCCCTCAAGGACCTAATCTCTACCTGGAGATACACAGAGATTAAGAACATGGTCTCTGAACCAGGCTAATGTCACCTGAATCCTGACTCTGTTACTTCCCAAACAGTGGCCCTCATCTCATCATCTGGCCCCAGATCATTTCATCAGCCCCTCTCCTGCAAGGTCCATCTTTCATCTGACTTCGACAGGGACCCTTCTGTTCACTGCAAGAAGAGCACACGTGTTTCTGGCCCTCTGTACACTCTACCGCAACCCCACTAGCTCAACTAATACTGCCAACTGGCTTTACTTCTCACTTGCTGGCTGATTTACCTGAGCATATCCACCAAGTGGGAGACATGCAGATTGCACATAACTATGAACTCTGCCGTGTTTCCACAAAGAAGGAATGAGGGATCATGACATTTCTGGATCTGTTTTCTGTTATGCCCAGCCTGTTTCACAGATGGCTTTTGACTCTTACCCCAGGGCCTTTATCTCTCTTGGTCTGTCATGTCAGGGAACTATCTAGAATAATCAGTGAGCTCTTTCCTTAGGCTTTCTCACACAGCATACCATTCACCACACCTGGCTAATTTGGATGAGTGTCCCTGAGGACTGAATCTACTTTGATTTTTTTTTTTTTGTCTGCTGCACTTTTACTTATTGTATTTCTATCTTGCAGCTACTTTGTTTTCACTTCTATTGCTGTGACAAAATGCCTAAGATAATCAACTTAAAAAAGAGGAAAGGTTTCTTTTGGCTCACAGTTTTGATGATTTCAGTTCCTGTTTGGTTGGCTGAGTTGCTTTTAGACATTTGCTGAAGCAGCACATTGTGGAGATGATGTGAGGTAGCACAAGCTCCCCACCTCATGGTAGTCAGGAACTGAGAGAGGAAGGAGAGGGCCTGAGATCCCAATATCCCTTCAAGGTCATTCCCTAAGTTATCCAAAACCTCCCACTAGGCCCCCCTATTAAAGATTCTACCACCTCTCTGCAGTCCTGGCTGAGGACCAAGCCTTTAACACAGGAATCTTTGAGGGACATTACAAATATAAACTACCAGAAGTCACACCTGACTGCTCTCCACTGCAAGGGACTGCCTGGAAAAGAATGATTTGCAGCAGACACACTTCAGGATAGCACAGTGACAGTTACACAGAAGGCAACTTTTACCTTTGATCCAACCAACATGCTCAGGGCAGGATGGAAAAAGTAGTAAGTGTACAGAGTATTAATTTGGAAATTTTTAAACAGTAAAATTTTGTTCAGAAATGAAGGGCATATCTCAGTGGAACACATGATCATGTTGTTGTTTCTCTCTTTGACAGGTATGGGAACTTGAGAGTGGCCTCCAAATATACCAGATTCTAGACCCTCACGGATTCAATATTGAACTGACTTGCGCAGCTATTGACGAAACTGGATTTCTTTTTACCACGGGAGCATATAATGGTCAGACTAATGGTCAGAATATGGCACCTCTGCTTCAGTGTCCTGAGAGTTTGTGTGTAGAGTTTGGGGGACTGAAGAGAAAGTATGACTCATGCTGACATGTAAACAATTTAGAGAGATGGTTGTGTCTGGGCTGATGGTGATAGTCTCTTACTTAGTGGCCCCAAGTGTCTGGATATGGATGTGAAAAACATCAGTAACTTACATTCCATTCAGACAGTCGCTGTAACTTTGCACAAAGGCCTTTCAAATAATGACACTTAGGTATGACAATGCCATAATAAAACTTGCTATTTTGTATGCTAACCTATAAATGAATTCCCAAAACCCACCTTAACCATTAAGCATTTGTACATTTGTACCTAGAGTATAATCTACATTTTTAGTTTTAATTGCATAACTAAGTATAATAAATTAGTTCATTATGGAAATATACATCATATTATAGTTAGGAATAGAATATGAAAGGGATAGAAAGTCTTTTACATGTACCATATCATTTAAACCTGGCAGGGAATAGCTGTTAAGACTGACTTACTCTATTCTGATGCCTTTGGGTGCTTAGCTAAGGGTAGGCATTAGACTTGGAATTCCCTGCTGCTACTCCTGCTGGTGTGGTATGGTGTGGTGTGGTGTGTGTGTGTGTGTGTCTGTGTCTGTGTGTCTGTGTGTCTTTGTGTCTGTGTGTGTATATACATATTCATGCATGCTGAGAATTGAACCTAATGCCTTGTGTATGCTAACATGCACTCTACCACTGAGCTGCACTCCCAATTCATGCAATATTGTTACTCATAGTATCTTTAGGGACCAAAAAAAATATCCAGCCAATTTAGCATGGAATGCCCAGAGTTCTATACTGGGTGTAGGCTTGAAGGGACGTTAAACTTGGGAGAATTCTGAGCTCAAGTGTGACTCTGCTTCATAATATACCACAGAGCACTTGCAGGAGCTAGAGAACTGTAGGCTGACCCACCTTTTCACCTCATCTTGCTCTGATCTTCCACTAAAGAGCTGCTTTGTCCAGAGTAGACAATATGATCAGCTGTATACACTACTCAGAATATATTTATCCTAGGATATATCTGCTAAATAAATGCTTCCTCCTGAGCCAGTTGATGGAATGAGTGGGCATCCTGATGTGAACATCTGTATTTTGAAAATGTGAACAGAAGATAACACAGCAGGAATAATCAGGAATGCTGAATGGAGCTGTAGGAATACCTTGGAGTGCAATTGTTCCTCCCTAAAAACAGTGCTTAGTAAAGCATCCTTACTGTGCCATAGGCGCTCACTGTATCCATATAAAAACGACTAGAAATAGAGATGCCAAGAAATGTCCACAATCACTGTCAGGCATAAGGATTAACGAATTCCATATATAACTGGCAATAAAATTTGCAGGCAAACAAACCGTGTTTTACTTAGTTGGTCCTGCAGTCTGCGTTTCTTTTACATCTTTTCAGCTGGACCTTTTATGTAGGACAGAAGTTAAACCAACAGAGTTCTTGGGTCTAAAATACCCTGAATAGTAGGATTCTCTGACTTTCAGGGCAGGTCGGTCCACAACCATCAGTCTCTTCTCATCACCCCTCATCTTTACTCAGAGGAACTAAGTAGTATTCCTCCCTCCTCTCTGCCTCGTTTGGATGGTCAAAGTTCAGGATAGGAGGAAGTCTGGGCTGTGGGACTATATGTACCTGACTCAGGAATGAGTGAGGGTAATAACTTCTTTCAATTATTGTATGACTTATTTTCCCCATAAACCATAGAGTGTTTGAGCACAGAAACTGTGATTTTTCACTTTATAATCAGAATTCTTGCAGCTGTAAAGGGGACATTGGGAGTATTTAACATGGGATGCTAGTAATGAACAAACAAATGATGGGTTATGAGCATTGCCAACAGGAAAAGCCTGGCCCAGGGGAAGGAAAACAACACAGTAAAAATATTGCATGCCAGCAGGATTAGATCCGAGAGCTGAGAAGGGGGTTGGGATGTTAGGGTTAGAGGGAAAGCAGGGACAGAGGGTCCACTGACTCTAAACCTGCAGTGACCATTATAAAAACCCATTTGAGAAGATCCTTTTCTCCATAGGAATGAGCTGGAGACAGGCACACAGCAACTACTCCACTTGCTATTCCCTATGGAATTAATGATACAGAAACTGCCTGCATCTGTTAAGATCATTTTAACACAAGCTGGCTTGCAAATATAAGAAGGTTTTTTTCCCCCCTTACATTTCTAGAGACTGGGAAGTCCAATGTCATGGCTCTGAAAGATTTAGTGTCTAGTAAAGATCTACTTCCTGGTTCACAGTGCCTTCTTGCTTGTCCTTATATGGTAGAAAGGGTGAAGGGTACACTCTTGCTAAGACATTTTCTATAATGGCACTAATCCCATTCTCCAGGGACCCATCCTTGTGATCTAATCCATTGCCACCAACTTTATTTACACTGGGAATTAGGTTTTAATACTATGTATTTCAAATGTAAGAAAATATTCAGCACTCCCTTTTCCCCCATGTAACCAACAAAACAACTCCAACCTTGTTTTTTTACCTGCTAGAATTCTTTAAAGCGTATATAATTATCCAATAAGAGCCAAATTCCTAAATATTTCAGCACCTTTAAAATGTGCAAATCACTGGAATTGTCATTAACTATTAGTAATAATTATGGTATGAAAGAACAATTTTGTTTGGCAGAGAGATGAAAAGCACTAGAAAAATGGGCCAGAAAGATTGGCATGAGAAAAAAAGCTCATTGGGCTGATGAGATGGCTCAGCTAGTAAAGGTGCTTGCTACCAAGCCTAATGACCTGAGTTCAGTTCCCAAGACCCCATATGGTAGAAGGAAAGAACTGATTCCTTCAAATTGTCCTCTGACCTCCACACATGTGGCATGGAACATGTACAAAAAAAGCAAAGAAAAAAAGGAAGGAAGGAAAAAAGAAAGGAAGAAGGAAAAAAAGTTAAAAAAGAAAGAAAACTCAGAGAAAGTCTGAGGGTTTCCAGAAAACGGTTTCAGTCAGCTTTGTGTTACTATAAAAACACCCAAGAGAATCAAATTATAAGGAGGTTTCGGCACATAATAACTTATGGTGAGGCAGGGTATATGGTGGAGACTGCATTATCAGGGAGCAAAGCTTCTCAGCTCCATGGCAGCCCAAAAGTGAAAAGGAAAGAAGGGTCTAGAGTCTCACACTCAAAGTCTCCCCTCAAAGACGTGCCCTAAATGACATCAAGGCCCCTAGCCGCACCTCCTAAATGTCCTATTACCCCACAATGGCACCCAGCTGGAGACCAAACTAAAGCAAACACTCACTGCAGTACTGTTTTCTTTCTTATGAGTCTGCGACAAATCGACAAATCGAGCCACACAAACACACCTCATACACATGGCCTGGGAGACTCATCTGCCAGTCTTAGTGAAAATAATCACTATACGCCTGAGCTGCATATGGAGAGCTTTCATAAGATCAGTGTTCCTGAGCCAAGAATCAGGCTAATCTGCACACCATCTTACTCACAGGACCTTTTCTCCACACCTTTAGGGACAGTTAAGATCTGGGACTTTGGCAGTGGGCAGGAGATGAAGGTGTTGCCAGAAGAGAAGGGCTGGAAGGAGGAGGAGCACGCATTGCTGCGCCTGTTTTTCCTCAAAGCCCAGGTCAAGCAGCAGTACCTGATCCTTGCCTTGGAGCGCAACGGGACTATCAAAATGCTACAGGTTTGAGTCCTGTTTACATATTTGTACTGTAGGTGATCTTTTGGGTTTGGTGATCCCCATTCAATCTCTCTCTCTCTCTCTCTCTCTCTCTCTCTCTCTCTCTCTCTCGACAGTCTCATGTAGTTCAAGTTGGTTTTGAACTCAGTATGTACCCAAGATGACCTTGAATTCCTTATCCTTCTGCTTCTACCTCCTGAGTGCTAGGATTGCAGGCCTGCACCACCTTATTCAGTTGCATGATTTATGTGGTGATGGGGACCAAACTTAGGGCATCATGCATACTAGACAAGCACTTTACCAACTGAGCTACATCCCCAGCCTCATTCAGTTCCTCTTGCCAGCCACCTGAACATAGTGCTTATTCATCAACTGCCCTGTGATGCTTCTAACTAACTTTGCTCAGGTTCAAGCAAACACACACACACATACACACACACACACACACACACACACACACACACACACACACACACCTGCCTAAGCCCTGCCCATCACACTCTTGCTTTGCATCATTGGGGATCCCCTAAAGTGAGTATCCGAAAGGTTGAATTGACATGCTCCTGCCACTGTTTACATTGCTCTCACCGTCATTGGAATATAGTTCACTGTCCCCTCAGGATAACTTCCCAGGGTATTTTGTCCCTCATAACCCATTAAGCATTCAGAGATGCCCAAGTCACTTTTTCCATTTCTCACCAAAATTGCTTTGTTTATTTTAAGGTTAATGATGCAATCTGCTCAGGGTTGTTTGGGGAGGATTGAAATAGGCTAATTCATTTTTCCTGCAAATCTATTACCACCTAGGAATACTAATGCCTTCTTCAAATTTAAAATGAAGTCAACATCATTTATCCTGGCTGAGTGGATCTTACCCGGTCAGCCAGACCTCAAGGACTAACATTACCTTCGTTATTCTCCTCTGGAAGCTAAGATCAGAAAATAAGTCTTGCATAGGATCTAAGTCACGAAGTACCAACATTGATTTGGATGACTAATAACTCTACAGCTGGGAGAAATGAATGAAAAACTTCCAACTTGATATACTCTTCCCTTTTGCACAATCCAAAATGGCACTGTAGAAAGGAATGTCTTGACAGCCGACATAAAGCAGCATGTCAATGCCTTCTGGGGACTGGTGCAATTGATCACCATGCCCTTCCTAGCAGACAGTTGTCACAAGCACTGTACTTTTAACAGCTGCAGAAAGAGCCATGGTTCTGAACTGGGGATGTATAGATTTTTCCAGCCATGCATAAAGCCCTAGGTCCTATCTGTAGTACCCCATAAGCTGCATGTGATGGCACATGACTGTAATACCAGCACTGGGGAGGTAGAGGCAGGAGCCTCAGAAGTTCAGGATCATCTTTGGCCACATAGTGAGTCCAAGGCCAGCCTAGAACACAGAAGACCACCATGCATCAAAATTGTTTTAAGTTCTTCTCCAGCCATTTCCACTTGGACTACTCTGGTTCTCCATTCAGGACCTGTAGACTGAGCTTGGTGAGGACTGAGCACCTCACTTTTATATTTGTGTTCTTTTCCTACCCATAGTAGATGCTTGTTAAGGGTAGAAACAATAAAATATAAAGAGACCACTTGTAAGACAGACAATAATAAACATATGAGGGGCTTGGGGGCAAATTTTAAACCTAGTTGGCCTTGCAGAGCTGATCATATAGCATGTAAAGCAGACCAAAATTTCCACGAGAAGGCAGCCAGGGTTCACTGACACTATTGCTATTTTTGCTCTCAACGTTTTCCACAGCAAACTAGGGTTTTATTTTGGGGACTTACATCAAGAGAGGCCAAAGAATCCAGGCCTAGGCCCTGCCTGAGAAAAGGATCTAATGCCTTTCTCTGCTGGAACCCCAAAGCTCACTGTTTGGTCATTGTTGAGAGTCGTCATACCCAGACGCTGGTGCAGATCAAAGAATTCCCTCCACCATCCCCCACAAACAAAACTGCAGCTATATTTTAAAATTAATATAGATATAAGAAAAATAGAGGCTCCGGAACCACACCTAGAATCCTAAAGCTTTAAATAATTAAGGGCTTTTATCCATTCACAAGTTGAAGTTCTTATTTTACAAAGAAGGAAAATAAAACCAGATGTGGTGGCACACCCAGTGCTTAGGAGGCAGAGGCAGGCGGGAGTTCGAGGCGCTTGGGAGTTCGAGGCCAGCCTGGTCTACATAGCGAGTTCCATATTCCATAGCGAGGCCAGCTGGGGCTACAGGGAGACCCTGTCTCAAAAAGACCAAAAAAAAAAAAAAAGGCCAAGAAAATATGTGCTTTCTCCCCCTAGATTTAGATCATATCAGAACTAAGAGGAACCTGCAGCTTTCACTCTTACACCAGTAATCTCACTGCTCTAGGCTAGCTGCTTTTCATCTTGGAAAGGTTCCTGTTCTACTAGCAAAATGACGAGCCTTAAGATTTGGGGGCTTTTATTTCTATAAAAAATATTTTAAAACCCTGAGACCGATAGGGTAGAAGGAAAGAACTGGCTCCCACAAGTTGTCCTCTGACCTCCACACATATGCCATGTGTGAGCACATAAACACATATACACACAATGTAATGTTTTAATTAAAAATGAATACACTCTTACCAGCAACAACCAGTCAGAAAACATAAATATAATACAGTGAATGATCACAGTATAACAGGAAATAAAAATGCAAGGTACCTAACCCATCGTACACATGCACACATGAGCAACCTTGATTAAACTTAGTGAGCTTTGATTAAGGATGTGAAAGTGAGAGGGGAAGTATTGGGAAGAAATGTTCCAGAGTGAGGGAGATAAGAAGGAAAATGGGGGCAAAAATGGTCAAAACACATATACATGTATGACCTTATCATAAAGTAAATAAAATTGTTTTAAAAAATAAGGCACTTAAAATGAATTTAATAAAACTATGCAAGAGCTTTGTAGAAAAATTTAACATAGGACATTTAAAAGGCCCAATCCAAATAAATGGCAAGATATACCATGTTCACAGATGGGCTGCCACAAAGACATTTCTGTTACAGTGCAATGAAAAATGGGAAGTGCAAGGATAAGCTCTGGATTGTGAGGCCATTGCACCTGCGAGGCCAGGTACCTGGGGGAAGGGTGGAGAACCAATTGTGTATAGAAATCTCAATAAACCAGAAGAAAAGCAAAGGTCCCAATAGAAAGATGGACAAGGGACAACTATAGAGATACGGGTGACTGTGCCTCTGTTTTATAAACACGTGAGAAATGTCCTACTCACCACCAACAGGGAAATGTGATCCCTGTTGTATACATGTGGGTGCATATAGGTCTAATTTGTTTCTTGCTTTCAAGCAGGGTCTTGCTATGTAGCCTGGGCTAACCTGGAACTCTTTGTCTTCCTGCCACAGCTTCCCAAGTGCTGGAATTTTAGACCGGTGCTACCACGTCCAATGTGCACCACCATGTCCAGCTAATAGACTTTTTAGTGTATAGTGCTGGGCATTGAACCTAGCCTCTTGCCTGCTAGGCAGTGCTCCACTACTGAACTAGATCCCCAGCTACTTTGTTTTTTAGTTATTTTTAAAATGCTGCATTTCAAACCCATTAGATAAGCAAAAACATTATTAACTATTTCTATGTATTAAACAAGAATGTAAAGAAAGGTGAGAGTGAATGTGAAAAATTTTAGTGCGATTTCACAGTATCTAGTGTAGTTTATCATATCCATATTTTGTAATTCAATAATTCTACTCTACTCAGATACTATCAGAAGCATGGTACCTGCCCATCAAAACAAGCCATGAAAAACTGGCAACAACCTGAGCATCCCCCAGTAAGAGAATAGATAACACACAGAAGAAGACTCAGTCAAAAAGAAAAGAACTGGAGTTCCACACAATAACTTGTTTCAAACTCTGAAATAATATTGAGGGAAATAAACAAGATGAAGAATTCATGTCGTTGAATGACTGTCATAAATGGCTAAAAGTACTGGGAAGACTGTTCAGTGGTTAAAGTGCTTGCTACAAGGATAAGAGCCAGAGTTCAAAGCCCCAGAACCATATAGCATGCTGGGTGTGCATGGTTGGGAAGTGGGGATTCTGAGTTGGATTGAGAGATGCTGCCTTAATGCATAAGGTGGAAGGGGGGGTTGAAGATGCTTCCCAACATCAACCTGGGGTCTTATGTTTGTACACACACAAGCACAAATACAAACATGTACACATCTCACACATACTCATGCACACATGCACACACACATAAGCACACCACACATACATGAAAATGGGAAAAAATAAAATGACTAAAAACCTAAAAGTAATATCGTATATAGAAAGAACATAATGCATGTACATACAGAAATAGTAAAGCTTTCATACATATATAGAATGATATGTTCGGGTTTCTGGTTACTATGAAGAGTGAGAAGAAAAGAGAATTACATTTTTCAAAGGATAGACAAAGCTTGAGGTTTGATAGAGCTGGATGATTGATGTATTAGTTTGTTTTATTTTTTCTCTATTTAAAAACATCTCAAAGAAGGATAATTGATTGACTTTTCATGCACTCACCGAATTTCTACTCAAGGGTAAGGAGGATGATGCACTCCTTGTGGCAGTGTGGGAGCTACCTGATGTCATGCCTTACCTGAAATGTGGGAGTCACATTGTGCATCTGAGGATGGCAACTGAAGAGAGGGCTGTGCCTATTCCTTTCCCGGATGTCGAGCTAGTCATTCAGAAAAGCTCTACTCAACATGCTAATGTAAGTTTCAATTCTTGTTTTTTCCTTTTTTGTGGAGAATTTAGAACATATACAAAGCTATAGAGACTAATAGAGTAAAGTTGAATGCACTGTTACTCAGTATTAATTTGTTTTGTGTATGGCTACACTTCTTATACTTAGCACTCCCTGACAATCACCATCTGTGGATTTTTAAGTGACTCTTCAACATTGTGTCATTCCATCCTTAAATAATTCAAGGTACTTCTATAAACAATAATGATTCTTTCAAAACCAGCAATATTGTTTTCTAAAACATCTTTAATATAACTTATAAGAATTTTTGGTGGGGTGGAGAATTTGAGACAGGGTCTCCCTATAGCCCCCACCCCAAATCACTGGGTAGACCAGGCTGGCCACAGTCTCAGAAATCCAACTGCTTCTGCCTCCTGAGTTCTGGGATTAAAGGCATTAAAGGCATATGCCACCATGCCTAGCATAACGTACAAGAAATTTTTCTCTCAGAATATGTATTTAGTCCTCAATTTGAAGTCCCAGATTTCTTCATAACTGATTTGTTTTTAGTGAGATTTATAAGCAAAATGTAGGTTTACTACTCAGTTCATTTGAAGAGAATCATGTTCAACCAACATGGAAACTCTTTCTATAAAAGTCTTACTTATGAAGCACTTTTTACTGAATACCTACTGTATAGCATGTGCTGATCTCAGCACTGGGTACACCGAGATTAATGAGGTATGGTGTCTAAACCATAGGAACACAGCTGGCATCTTGGAGGACTGGGGGCAGCGAGAAGGTCCTGAAGAGCATAACTGAATTAGACATAAAAAACCTTCAGGGGCCAGGAATGATGGCACATGCCTTTAGTCCCAGCACTCAGGCGGCAGTGAGTTTGAGGCCAGCCTGGTCTCAGATCAGCCAGGGCTACATAGTGAGACCCTGTTTAAGAACAAACAAAACAAAGAACCAACAGATATCAACTTGGCCCAGATGGGAATTTCTAAAGGGAGGTGAAAAGACAAAGTGAATCCTTAATGGAGGAAATCACATGGTCTAAGTCATGGAGGTAAGATACTGTATGATCTACGAAGGACTGGAATGGTGGGAGATCAAGATGGAAAGACAGGACTCATGCAGTCAAGACTCATGCTTGTAAGGAGCTCGAGGAGCCTATGAAAAATGGGAAGTCATGGAGGGGCTTTGATGAGAAATGAACTGATTAGATGTGTGTTATTTGCCCCAATGCTGCTTAAGTGAAAACTTTAAATAGGATAAGACTGAAGTCTAAAGGTTCAGGCAGCAGGCTGTTGTTCAACTTGATAGTCACGATAATGGAGCTGGTGAGGAAGAGAAGGCTTAAAATATTTAAGGAGTAAAAGTAGTAGAATTAAGATTTATTCATCAGTGAAGGAGGCCAAGTAGTTGGCAGAGGAATGAAGGACAGCACCATCCAGGAACATGTTTAAAGGAGGCGATGACTTAGACATATTAACTAAATAGTAAATATTCAAGCCTGTAGCTTCTGGGAGGGGACTAGACTATTTTATCCTTAACAGTAAGGTAATTATTAAAAAACGAAAAGAACTGAGATTGCCCAGAACCAGTTAGAAAAAAAGAAAAAAGCAAGGTACAAGAGGCAAGCCCTAAGAGCGTTAGTATTCAAAGGCTGACAGAGCAAGAGAGCACCAAGTAGGAAACAGAAAAAGAAGGGTCGTAGAGATGCAAGCTGTGCTGTCCATTTTCCATCACTCTGATGAAGTGCTTGGGATAAACAGCACAAAAGGATGACTCATTAGCACACCTTTCAGTCCATAGTCTTTGACCCTGTTGCCTTTGGGTCAGTAGTGATGTAGGACATCATGTGGAAACATTTGACAGAGGAATCTACTCCTTATGGTGGTCAGGAGGTAAGAAAGAAAGAGGAAGGGAAAAAAGAGAATGGATAGGGACCCAGTATGAATAAGTAGAAAAGGCCTCCACAGGGTGGGATGGAGCATACGCTGGGGAGACAGACTTGCCAAGTGAAAGAATGGAAACAGCTAATGTGCCCCCTTTTCAAGAAGTTTGAAGGGAAGAGAAAAACAGATAATCCAATGGTAAGGAAGAGTAAATCAAAATTGAGTTGAAAGGGGACAGAAGAGGAAAGAATGTTTTTGTTGTTTTAATGAATTATTCAAACTAAACTTTTTACTGCTAAAAGAAAACGTTTTAGTACATTTCATGCTTTATTATTTTAAAAAATGATGACACGTTGTTTTAGGTTGATCACAATTACAGTGTGCATATCTGACACTAAACACTAAGCTGAGATTGCATTCCCTCCAGTTAGTGAGTTTGTGCCCTTATTTCTTTAGAGTCCTAGCATCAATGCTGAGATAAACTGCCTTGATATATTTCAGTTAGAGGGATATAATTTGATGGTTGCTGGAACCTTAAATGGAATGATCATCCTATGGAATTTTATAACAGCTACTGTTAAAGAAATGTAAGTATGTCTTTGCCCTAAATAATAAGAGTTTTACTCTAGAAGAGTCAAAATAGCAAGCAATACTCAATAAAGAAGTGTTCAGTAATGGTGACATGGTGGTGATAACCTTCAAGAGAGGCTTTCCTGGAGGCAATATTTATGAACAAACTATGTTTTTCCATTATATGTACATATATGCATATATATAACTGCAAATATACACAATTAAATATTTGCAGCTCCAAGAATGTTCACCTTTATATGAGCATGTGTTCTCTCCATTGTGATATTGTCTAATTTTTGGCCTCAACAAATGATTTAAAAGCATGATAATTTCATCCACTATCCAGTCATTTACCTGTAATCCCATTTGATTGCTGCCCAGTCTCTTCAAGCAACACAGTGCTTAATACTCCTTCCCAAACTACTCCTCCCCCAAGCTTCTTCTCACTTTGTATTTCTAGTGCCACCAATGTCTACTCAGTCACCAAAGTCAAATGGTGAGAGGCATCCCAGAAGACTTTCCTTCCCGTTCACATCAACACATCCACTTTATTGCATGGTGGTACTATCAAGGTCCAAGGTGCAATTTTTCATCTTCTGTTGAGATGCTCTGGATCACACTTTGAGTCTTTACCACCTCCCTGCAACTTTTCATCTCTAGAAGTTCTTACCATTGGTTTACAGGAACTAACTTGGTATCGTATTGGGTGTATGGATGAATTATAATAATAAGATGTCTCTACTTGTATACTTGAGGTGTATACAAGGCTTTGTATGAACAGCATATATCTAGGGGGCTTGTAAAATTACTTACAAATACAAAGTGGCCAAGAGTCTTGATAAACCAAAATAAAATCAAGTTTAGCTAAGCTTTCAGGGGAGGGAAAGAGAAAGGAGAGGAAAGGGAAACATGGGAAAGGATGAGGGAAAAGAGGAAAGTGCAAAAGCAATCTCTGCTGCTAGTTACAGGACACTGCCTGCCACTACACTAGCTGAACTCCATGTCCATTTTCCATCAAGTGTTGGGGATTACTTTTATCCATGATTTTATAGGAAATAGCCTTTTCCTATTTGAGACCTGGATCTAGTCTCTTAAAGCTGTAGTTGAAATAGCAGTTTCTTCAAACCCCTTGCTCTGCCTCCCAACTCTTTGGAGAATTCCTGGACCCTGACCCAACAACACTTGTCATTTTTTTATCCCTAATATTTAATGTCTGCCCTTGGACTTCTCTTTTTTTAAAATAAATAATTTACTGAGAATTTCATATATGCATATAAGGTGTTTTGATCAAATCCATGCCCACTCCCTCCCCTCCAACTCCTCCCATATCTCCCCATCACTTTTTTTCTGATAACTTCATGTACTCTTTCTTCTTCTTTGATTGATTGATTGATTTTTATGGGGCTTTTGGCTACTGTAACATCCCCGCCCCCAAAGAGGTAACCCTGAACTCTTTTAAGGATTAGATACAGGCTCCCAAATACTTTCAACATTTTTGGCTTTTGAAACAGAGTATGTTTCTAAGAGGCCCAAGGACATTTGGATTTTTAGCCAAGAAACTGGCTGCTTTTCTTTGAGGTCTTTTTACCCTAACTGCCTAGCCAATCCCTACCTCCTATTCTTATCACACCATCCTCTGAAGAGGTTACCCAAATTGCCAATAGGGAATAGGGACGCAGGCACTCTGGCTTCTTCCATGCTGAACAGGGACACAGGGTGAGGCAATTGGAGTACCCCTTCAGTGGGTCTATCTAAAAGACCCCCAAATTGCATAACTCTTATCTCTAAGGGGAAAAGAAAGTCCTTGAATCATGAATAGGAGATGTGAAGGAGAAGTAAAGGCAAGAGTAATTAGCATTACAAGTTCTAGACAGGGAACTAGAAAATGGACTTTTCTTGAATGCTGTATACTTTTCATTTAATACCTGTGTCCTCACATACTGCACAGTTCCTCACCTTCTTATTAACAGTTATCATACTCAAGGTGTCAGTTTGTCTGACTCACTACTAAGAAAGGCGTGTACACTGAAAAGTCCGGTATTGATGTCACATTGAAAAGAGGAGGCAGCTCTCCTGAGACTTCCCAGTTTCAAAGAAGACATCCTTCTTGCTTAAGCGCCAGGCATTTTGCCAAGGGATGCATGCAAAGCCAGCACTCAGTAAGAGAAAAGCAACTAACTATGGTAGGTTATATGCTGCTCCCCTTTCCTATGGGCAGATGAGTATATAAAAACAATTGGAGGCAGGTGAGATGGCTCAGTGGACAAAGGCACCTGATGTCAAGCCCAAGGACTTGAGTAGAAGGAGAGAACTGACTCCCTCTAGTTGTCCTCTGACCTCTAGACAAGCACCATGACAAGGGCACCCTCCCCACGCACACATGAACATTCACACAAAATAAATAAAACAAAATTTAAAAATGTAAAACATTTCGGTCCTAGGGAGATAGCACATATAGTAAAGTGATTGCCTTCCAAGCACAAGACCTCAAGTTGATCCCCAGAACCTATACTTTAAAAAGCCAGGTGTGGTAGTATGTACTTGTAATCACTGTAAAAGTAGAGACAGGTAGATCCCTGGGGCTTGCTGGTTACCAGCCAGCCTGGCCTACTTTGCAAGGTCCAGTGATGAACCTTGTCTCAAAAGAGAGACAGAGAAAGAGAGAGAGAGAGAGAGAAAGAGAGAGAGAGAGAGAGAGAGAGAGAGGGGATCTAGAGAGATGGCTCAGTGGTTAAGAGCACTGGCTACTCTTGCAGAGGACCTGGGTTTCATTCCTAGCACTCACATGGTAGCTAGCAACCATCTGTAACTCCAATTCCAGAGGATCCAACACCCTCTTCTGACTCCATGAGCACTGCATGACATGGGTACACTTAAACACATGCAGGCAATATACTCAAACACGTAAAATAAAAATAATAAAATATTTTTTAAAAAGAGGTGAACAGTGCCACAAAGTTGTCCTCTGGCCTACACACACATGCACATGGGGAATGAGCACTTGAACACACACATGCTAAAATTTTGGTTTTGAATCACTAGAGTCTTTTGGAAAACACACAATTTAGTTCAGAACTGTGCATTGGATTCAATGGTTCTAAAATTGAACATAATTTCCATAGTTAAGACGGAGGTCATTCCTTCATTCATCTCCAGCTTTGCCTGACTCCTTAACCAGCCAGGGAGGAACTGCCCTTCTCTCTCTGCTCAGAACCTCATGCTTTGCAGGTTTGAACTTGATACTTTTCTTGTTAATTGATAACCTGCTTTATGATTTATTGAAGAACAGAAATATCTAGAAACTTTGAGCTCAACATGTCATTGAGACCACAGGCTTCTCTTGATCTTGGTGAGACTCCTACACCACTCTGTTCGTCTACTTTTTGTTGCTGTAACAGTGACCTAAGACAATAAACTTTATAAGAAAGGTCTGTTTTGGTTCATGGTTTCAGAGGTTCAGGGGATCCATTGACCCCGCTGTTTTGGGCCAGCAGCTCACAATAGGAATGAATGATGGAATACTTCATGGTGGGGAAGCGAAAAAGGAAGAGAGGAAGAGGGGCCCACAGACCTTTCAAGCATAAATCCCTCAATGAGTGAAAAACTTCCCACTAGGCCCCACCTCTTAAAGGTGCCACTACCGCCCTGAGGGTACCAAGCTAGGGAGCAAGCATTTAACATATGGGTCTTTGGGTGGGGGGAATATTCCAGATCCAAATTTTAGCATTCACTCATCAGCTCAAATTAGCAGAAGTAATTTTCCTCAAAGGAAAGGGATTTTGCTAGAAGATCAGTTTTCTCTAAGGAAGGCAAGGTAAGCTTGTAGAGATCAGGCATGAAGTACTAGGGCAGGTGCTTATGGACTATTATTCTATTCCCAAGACTCCACCTAGAAAGTTCTGTGGGATCTGGGTCCATGGAAGACTGGAGCAGCAAAAGCAATAGCATCACTGTTACCTCTTCTCCCCTCAGTTATAAATTCCTTGAGATTAGGAATCACTTTTCATTCAAATTGTCAATCCATGTATTCAGAAAATTCTGTTGTTTCAAGTATATGAAACTTCCCTGTGCTTCCTCCACAGGATTATATAAAACAGACTCTTTGACCCGTAGGCAGGAAATGTGTGTAGTTAACTGGGTTAAAAGATGTCTAGATTAGCTGGGTGTGGTGGCACATGCCTGTAGTCCCAGCACTTGGGAGGGAGAGGCAGGTGGATCTCTGTGAGTTCAAGGTCAGCCTGGTCTACATAGTGAGTTCCAGGACAGCTGGGGCTACAGGGAGACCCTGCTTCAAAAAGACCAAAAAAAAGACGTCTAGATAGCCAGTGATGGTGTGATTATATAAACCCTATTCAAGAAGGCATGTTTAGATTCTGCCCCTCTAGGTGTTTGTGTGCAATGCTGACATTTTAGGAGTCAGTTAGGTCTGCATGGGATTTACAGTGTAAGTAATGCATGTTTATTAACTTGGCAGTTTATCAGATAAATGCATGCTTGTTTTCAGATACCGACCTGAAGACTGCTTCACCGTGGATCCTGATTTGGACCCCAAACGCTTTCGGATTAATGACATAATGTTCCTCTTCCGTCCTCCTGACTGTGTAAGGTAAGTCAGAATTTTGTGATTGAGTGGCACTGTCTGAGACTCAGGTAGATGACAAGTTGGCCATATCCCACCATTAAGAAAGGAATGGCTGAAGGAAGAAGGATATTGAGCTGACTCCTTTGTTTCAACTTTCCTCATTGCCATTGTCTTGTTGTGTGGACCCCAACCATGACGGCATCACTGTGTGGAACCTACCATGTCAGCATCACTGTGTGGACCCCTACTAGGTCAGCATCATCACTGTGTAGATCCTACCATGTCATCACCACTGTGTGGATCCTACCATGTCAGCATCACTGTGTGGAACCTACCATGTCAGCATCACTGTGCAGATCCTACCATGTCAGCATCACTGTGTGGACCTCTACTAGGTCAGCATCATCACTGTGTAGATCCTACCATGTCAGCATCACTGTGTAGATCCTACCATGTCAGCATCACTGTGTGGAACCTACCAGGTCAGCATCACTGTGTGGAACCTACCAGGTCAGCATCACTGTGTAGATCCTACCATGTCAGCATCACTGTGTGGACCCCTACTAGGTCAGCATCATCACTGTGTGGATCCAACCATGTCAGCATCACTGTGTGGACCCCTACTAGGTCAGCATCATCACTGTGTGGATCCAACCATGTCAGCATCACTGTGTGGACCCCTACTAGGTCAGCATCATCACTGTGTGGATCCAACCATGTCAGCATCACTGTGTGGACCCCTACTAGGTCAGCATCATCACTGTGTGGATCCAACCATGTCAGCATCACTGTGTGGACCCCTACTAGGTCAGCATCATCACTGTGTGGATCCAACCATGTCAGCATCACTGTGTGGACCCCTACTAGGTCAGCATCATCACTGTGTGGATCCAACCATGTCAGCATCACTGTGTGGACCCCTACTAGGTCAGCATCATCACTGTGTGGATCCAACCATGTCAGCATCACTGTGTGGACCCCTACTAGGTCAGCATCATCACTGTGTGGATCCAACCATGTCAGCATCACTGTGTGGACCCCTACTAGGTCAGCATCATCACTGTGTGGATCCAACCATGTCAGCATCACTGTGTGGACCCCTACTAGGTCAGCATCATCACTGTGTGGATCCAACCATGTCAGCATCACTGTGTGGACCCCTACTAGGTCAGCATCATCACTGTGTGGATCCAACCATGTCAGCATCACTGTGTAGATCCTACCATGTCAGCATCACCGTGTGGAACCTACCATGTCATCATCACTGCGGGGAACCTACCATGTCAGCAGCACTGTGTGGAACCAACCATGTCAGCATCACTGTGTGGACCCTACCATGTCAGCATCATCACGGTGTGGAACCTACCATGTCAGCATCACTGTGTGGAACCTACCATGTCAGCATCACTGTGTGGAACCTACCATGTCAGCATCACTGTGTGGAACCTACCATGTCAGCATCACTGTGTGGAACCTACCATGTCAGCATCACTGTGTGGAACCTACCATGTCAGCATCACTGTGTGGAACCTACCATGTCAGCATCACTGTGTGGAACCTACCATGTCAGCATCACTGTGTGGAACCTACCATGTCAGCATCACTGTGTGGAACCTACCATGTCAGCATCACTGTGTGGAACCTACCATGTCAGCATCACTGTGTGGAACCTACCATGTCAGCATCACTGTGTGGAACCTACCATGTCAGCATCACTGTGTGGAACCTACCATGTCAGCATCACTGTGTGGAACCTACCATGTCAGCATCACTGTGTGGAACGTAGATCCTACCATGTCAGCATCATCATTGTGTGGAACCTACCATGTCAGCCTCAGAGTCCCTTTATTTACAACAGAGGTAGAAACGGAACATCCTCATTTGACCACACTTTTTTTGTCTTTTTGAGACAGGGTCTCCCTGTAGTCCCGGCTGACCTGAACTCACTATGTAGACCAGGCTGGCCTTGAGCTCACAAGGATCCACCTGCCTCTGGCCCCCGAGTGCTGGGATTAAAGGTGTGCACCACCATGCCCTGCCTGACCACACTTTTAAGTCTTAGATAAAATCTAATACAGTAACCACTGATTGAAGCAAAAGTTAGGATTGAAGGGAGAAAAAAAAACAGAAATGATATTGTAGGTTTCGTCTGTCGCCTGGGACAACTGAGTAGTCTCCATCCACTTCTGAGACAGAATATCTAATGAAAAGGGTTTTTTTTTCTAATTTCTATTTATATTTGCTTAAGAACTCTATTTAGGTAATAGACAATGTTAAATGCATCTAGTAGAGAAATCAAATGTTTCTGTGCTGATTTGGGTTCACTCATTGCTAGATCAGAATATAGCACCTTCCCTATACCTTGTTCTGAGAATTCATCAGAATTATTTGGAGAATATTATCCAGACCTGTTTCTTGTATATCTGCACCAGCATACTAAGCTACTTTTCAGCCCATCCCCACAAAGCATAGCAGGGACAGGGTCAGGCCAGAAAGGACCACGCAATGTAAGAAGTAAACCAAGCTTGTCTGCACCTGCCACCACCCATCCCTGCATTTCAGTGTCTGAACCTCTTCAGTTCAATCTAGGCTTTGGCAGTGTGACGGCAGGCTCACCGTTCCTAGACCAAGGCAGCAAGGCCCCTTCACTAACGAGGCTCTCCAACGGTCTTCTCCAACACCACACTGACGAACACCCATGACACAGAATATAAGGTGTGACTGGCTTCTTAAGTGAGTGCCTCATCCACAGATGACAAAAGAAGATGGAATGAGTAAAGAGATGGTTCAGAAGTTAAGAGCACTGGCTGCTCTTGCAGAGGAACCTGGGTTCAGTTTCCAGCACCCACATGGTGGCTAACAACTACCAATAACTCCAGCTCCAGGGGATCCGAAGCCGCCTTCTGGTCTCTGTGAACACTGCAAACATATGGCATACTTAACATACATGCAGGCAAAACATTCATACACATAGAATAAAAATAAATAGATTTTAAAAACAAATTCTTTTTTAAAAAGTTAGATGAAATTGAAGCAGAGAAGGGCAGTCTGAGTAGGATGAATATTCAGCTGCCAGTCTGTGTTTCCTCCCTCCCCTTGTAGGAGATCCAGTCAGGATTCTGTATGCTCTTCAACCCAGTGTGATTCCAGCAAGGGTCCACAGAGCAGCAAGGTAAGTGAGAAACAGAAAGGGCATCTTCTTATTACAACCAGTGACTCAAAATTAGCGACACTGAGCATCCGAGCCCGTTCTCTGATGCAAGGTAAACTGGAAATATTTTATGTGCTCATATAAATTTTTTTCTGTTTTCTCTGAAAATCCATGTCTACATTGTTTTGTGTGTGTGTGTGTGTGTGTGTGTGTGTGTGTGTGTCTCAAGGCCGTCACACCTGTGAACAATCAATACATGGTCATTAATAAATAAATAAAATTATTAATAAAGTAAATTATGCATGTTCTTTTCATCCTCCTAAAATAATAATGTGATTTTTCCGAGTATCTCTTTTGCTAAGTGTTGTCACAGTTCACAGGGAGAAGAGATTACCTGTGATGTAATTGTATCACAGCCATAACGTCACACAGTGGCTTTCTAACTGCATTTTCAGTTTTAATTTTACATATTTTTACACATTGTTTTTCTAATGAGGATTTTATTTGAAGTCAAATTTTCACAGCAAAGGTTATTTTAAGAGAACTAGTATGACAGAAAGAACTAACTTATATGGATGGATGAACAAGCCAGGCAGAATTGCACCCAAACCCAAGTCTTTCGTGCATTGCCTAATAAGGTCTAGCCATGTCACTCAGAGCATTTTTGCTTTTTTTGATGGTACTGTGATACACACCATGACCAAAGCCAACTTGGGGAGGAAAGAGTTTATTTGGCTTACAAGTTCCAATCCATCACTGAGGGACCCTTGGGCAGGAACTCAAGGCAGGAACTGAGGCAGAGACCATGGAAGAGCACTGCTTACCAGCTTGCTTCCTCTGGCTTACTCAGCTGTCTTTCTTACATAGCCCCAGTCCACCTGCCCAGGGTGGGAAGTACCCACAGTAGGCTGCACCCTCCTGTATCAATTATCAATCAAGAAAGGGCCTCATAGACATGGCCACAGACCAGTCTGACCTAAGACATCTTCAGCTGAGGTTCCCTCTTCCCTGGTGACTCTAGGTTTGTGTCAAGTTGCCTGCTGAAGTTAACTATGACACCGAGTTTCTGTTTCCTTACCAGTAAGAATGGGGAAATAAAGACAAGTTGCATGGTTGTCAGTAGAGATAGAGACGTTATACAAGAATTGGGCATGCATTAGGTGGCATTATTAATGCTGTTCTTGAACCACTAGGAAATGTCATGCTGTAGCTTTCCTGTTTATGAATATGACAGTCTCTGAAATACAAAGAAATAATTTTAAAATGACTTGGACAGTAGTGCTTAGGAACGTCAATTCAGCTATCTGCAAAAGCTGTTCATTGGTAGGTCTCATTTCCTTATAATGTCATGGAAATGTCATCTCTTTCTTTTCCCCTCATTCAGGGAAGCAAGCAAAGTATTCAGGAGAATGAGGCCAAAGGTCAGTTCCACCACTCTTTAGAATAAAGCAGCTATTCTTTCTGTTTGTGGTGTTGGGATCAAGCTTTTACAACAGAACCCATAAGACTTTAGATTTTTCCAGTGATCCAGGATACTGTTTTCAAATGTTTTTTTGTTCTCTGCCTTGTGGGTTCTCACAAGTTAAAATAAATTCTGGAAGAGCTGGAGAGAGGGCTTGGCAAGTACTACCCCTTAGCTACACCCCAGTCCAACTAGCTCTTTTGTAACTGGGGACTTTATATGATAGAATACTCTCGATAGTTCTTATTGCAACTAAAGCTCTTTTTTCCTTTTTTATTGGATTTTTGTGCATTTCATACAAAACATCTTAATCATTTTTATTCCTTCCCCACAGGCATCCTCTCATAGGCCCCCCACGCTGGATTTCATACAGTCTGTCATATATGTTAAGGCCTAGCCAGTCAAGTTAGTGTCCCCAGATGTCCCTCAGTGCAAGTTCATCCCCTGGGGTCTGGTCAGCCTATATAGAGTCTTAAAATGTTCAGAGGACTGAATAGCCTAACAGGCTATTTCTGTTAAAACAAATCCTTTTCCCAGGCATGGTGATACAGGCCTTTAATCCCAGGACTTGGGAGGCTGAGGCAGGCAGATCTCTGTGAGATCAAAGCTAGCCTAGTTTACATAATGAGTTCCAGGCCAGCTGGGGCTGTGGGGAGTCCCTGTCTCAAAAATACAAAAATCACAAACCAAAACAAAATGATGCCTTGTCAGGGGATCAATGGGAGTGGGAGGGGGACAAGAAAGGGTAATGGGGCAACTTAGATACGTTGTACACATGTATGAAAACATTATCATGAAGCCCATTATTTTGGGTAATTACTCTATGTTAATGTTTAAAAGGTGACACTTCCAGAAACATTCTCAACACAGAAAAAATTTTGTTTTTCAAGACGTCAGTTCTATATTTTTAAAATCCAAAATATGACTGAGCTAGTCTCCAGTCCATTTTGCTAAAACTTATGCTAGGTTTATAAGCCATTCTAGATATATTAAAACTAACATGAGTATCTCTTGTTTAGCCACTACATGCAGCGTCCTCTAGAGGTTTCTACAATAGGACCAAAAATAAGCCTTTTTGATTTTTCCCATTGATCCAGGATTCCATTTTTCAAATGCTTTCTTGCTACCTGTCCTGTGAGTTCTCTCAAGTTAAAGTCTGGAGTGGCTAGGGAGATGGCTCTGGGGTTAAGAGCACTGGCTGCTCTTGCAGCAGACCCAGGTTTGGTTTCCAGCACCCACATGCTAACTACTGTCCATAACTCCAGTTCCAGGGGATCTGACTCCCTTTTCTGGTGCATTTAAATACATACACTTAACTTCATACACATAAAGTAGAAATAAATAAAAATTAAAAAATAAATACATTCTAGAGAAAATCCTGTATTGTTTTGCCATTTTCCTACCTCTCTCCTCTTTTACATTCCATAAGAATTGAAATTCTAAGTATTGCAAATACCATGGCAACTCACTGATTTCTCTAACAGACATTGCAGGAGAGCAACAGTCAGTGGCCAAAAAGCAGCCCATGCCTACCAACCTAATGGAAGCACAGCCTCCCATCCTGGTCACCGCGCACGAAGACGGACACCTCCGCTTGTGGACACTGGAGGTGATGGGGCTTGGTATCTGCCAGGACTTGGAAAGAATGGGACAGTAAAGTGGACAGAAATGAACAGTAGCCTTTCATATGGCAGTCAATTCAAATGTATTTCAATCTTCTAGCCAGATAGATGACTTTTCAACCTGCTCACTGACTGTGCTGCCAGACTTTACAATAGCCCAGTCTTGTAATTCAAGATATCAAATCATCACATCCATTAACAATGTCAGATCTTTCAAGCTGAGCTGTAAAGTCATGCTAATATTTTACTGGATATTTAAATGAAATGATATCGATAACATTATATTTTAAAATGTATAAAGGGCTGGGGAAATGGTTGAGTCAGTAAAGTGCTTGTCTTGACCTGGGTTCAATCCCTAGAACTGTGTCAAAAATTCAGGAATGATAATACACGCTTATAATCCCAGCGCTGGGGAGGTGGAGACAGGCGGATCCCTGGGGCTCCCTGGCCAACCAGCTAGCCTAACTGGTGAGCTGCATGCAGGTCAGTGAGAGACTTTGTGTCAAAATAAGGTGGATAGTGTTCCTAAGGAGTGACACCCAATGTTGTCGTCTGACACACACACAAACACAGGCATGTGCTCCTACATCCTATGTGCACATAAACACCATATATGTGTGTGTGTGTGTGTGTGTTTGTGTTTGTGTACCAAAAAGAAGAGTGTAAGAGCATTGATATGTTAAATATAAAATAATTTTCATTAACTTTTATTTATTTGTGTGTTATGTCTATGTGTGCGTATGTGTGGGCACCAACATGCCATAGTATGAGTGCAGAAGTCAGAGGACAACTTGGGGAAGTCATTTTATTCTTTCACCTTGTGGGTCCCAGGGATTAAACTCAGGTGGTCAGGCTTGGTGGCAAGCACCAAATCAGCTGAACCATCCCTCCAGCCTTAAAATAAATGTTTCATCATATAAAGTATTGGAGGGTAATATCGTATCACTTTGAATATCCTTATACATTCTACTGTGAGAGAAGATAGTGGCTTTAATTTCCCAGATTTCAAGTGATTTGGGGTGAAAGGTGGGCATTCCAAATTAAAAGCATAAATTAGGGGTCAGGGGCTAAAGAGATGGCTCAGTAGTTAAGAGCACTGGCTTCCCTTGCAGAGGACCCAGATTCAGTTCCTAGTACCCACATGGCAAATAACACCCATCTATAAGCCCAGTCCCAGTGGATCTGATACCCTCTTCTGCCCTCTGTGAGTGTTGCACACATGGTGCACTTGTACACAGGAAGGCAAAACACACATAAAAAATATCAGTCAATTAATCAAATTAGGAGCTAGCAAGATGTTTTAGTGGGTAAAATCGCTTGCCACAGAAAGATTAACCTGAGTTTAATCCCTGGAACCTATGTAAAAGTGGAAGGGAAGAACCAACTCCAGGAAAGTATCTTGTGATGCACAAAAGCACTACCACAGACACAAACACATAGACAATACACACTAACAATAATAATTATTAATAAAGGTGTATTTTTTAAAAAAATAAGGAGTACAGTGCCAGTCATGGTAGGGCACACCTTTAATCTCAGCACTCAGAAGGCAGAGGTAGGCAGATCACTCTGAGTTCATGGCTACCTGGATCTAGTAAGTTCCGGGCCTGCCAGGGCTACATAGAAAGACCCTGTCTCAAAAAACAAAAGTACAAATTAGGAGGCATTAGTACAGAAGACAGTGAAAGGGTTGTATGTAAACTGCCCATTGTGACAGTGAAATTCTTGGAGACATGAGGTATACATACTGTGATAAGGCCTCTTCTACAGGGAATCCAGGAAATGGCAACAGTGTTGTGTGATCCACACTGGGATCGACAACACAGAGCAGCATGGCTGTCTATCAGCTCAGTGCCAGTCTGTCCACGCATCCTAGCTTACTAGTAAAACCCCAGGTTTTAAAACAATCTCCAAGATGATCTTGGTATTAGTATGATACCCTTTTATCAGTAACAAATAGAAGAAAGAAGCAGAAGAGGTGGGAGTCAGGTCAAGTCAGGACACAAGTAGCAAGTGCAAATTCTGCTCTGTTACTCCCAAAGTGAGATAATATATATGAAATTCCTTCCCAGGGCTAGCTCATACCAAACACTGGAAAATATCTCTGAGTCTGAACCCCTTGCAATCCATTATCTAGCTCCAATAGTCAGATTTTTTTTTCTGCTAGGGAAATATGCCTTTTGGAAACCATGGAAGTGCAGTTGAACACGAATGGAATGCTTCAAATGTGTGAGGCTTGTGTACAGCTTGTGAGACTGTATGATTGGAAATTCCTTCCAAGGAATTGCATAAAAACAGCCATGGAAGCCAGGCATGGTGTCACATGCCTGTAGTCCCAGCACTTGGGAGGCAGAGGCAGGTGGATCTCTGTGAGTTCAAGGCCAGCCTGGTCTACATAGTGAGTT